ATCTCTGTACACATATATTAGTGTATTGTAATTAATTTTCACTGAAAATGTGACTAAAAACGATCTTAGAAGTTGAATTGGATAAATATTTTTTAGTCATCAAAATATTTAGTGTTATAATAATCACAGTTTTCTCAGCCATTTTGGAAGGTGTGCCTTTGCATCGAAGCAAGACGATCGTTGAGCCTGAAATGATAGATACAGTTTCTGCGTTAGCCAGTGTACATCCGTTTCTCACCCCTTCAAAAAAAACGATTTTTTTGGAGGGGTGAGAAACGGATGTACACAGGCTATTTCTGCGTTTGACAAAAGTACACCTGGTTACAAAAAGTTGTCCAAGAAAAAGTTATTCTGCTACTTAAGAATTAATTAAAATACAAAAGAAAGTGTTCAGCTTCAGTGGTCATCTTTTGTTTCCTGACTCCTCTTCTGTCGGGCTTCCTGTCCCTCCCAAAAGAGGGACAGGAAGCCCGGCAAAAGGAGAGCCTGCGAAGAGACTAATGTATGCCAAGTTAATCCTAAATCACACAAAAATATAAGGACAACATTTTGGCAATTACTTGTTTTATYAGGTGTATGATTACTGCAGTTCACTGACGTGACCTGTGTTCAGTCGCAAAACAAACTTTAATTATATTTGAATTTATTTAAAAGTTTTTTATTCTTACCTAATGTATGCTTTATGTTTTTATATATTTTTGTTTATATCTGAGAACAGAGGAACACATGGCCGTTTTATATCTTAAATTTAAGATTAACCTCGTCTGAATACAGTGAACAGTGAACTGTACCCATCTCAGTTTGTATGTCTTTTCTCACGTATCTTTTTTCATATCAAAATTATTGCTGGCCAAGGGGAAAATAAGGACTTTTTTCTTATTTAGAAAGACTCCATTTTACAGAGCTGCCATCTCGAAAGGTGTCCGAGAGTTTGCAGCTAAATAGACTCTTCTACAGTCTCATGATCGGCTTATGTCTCACTGTGGAAGAGTCTACAGATTGTAGCAAGTGAAAGCGAGCCCGCAATAACTGGACCCTTTTAATTTCTCAGTAACTATGTTATTGCGCAATTCARTCTTGGTACTACCTCAAAAAATTGAAGAAAAAAAAACTTTTCCAACTGCGCGCGCCACAAGGATGATAGCTAATGTGCGCGCGCCTTGAGGGACGCGTAAAGATTATTTTGAGCGCGCGTGTCAGGCAAAAACCGCTCAATTTCAAACAATTTGACGTTGCTCGCCAAAATAAGRGGAGTTTGCAATCATTAATTAACTTGAGAAAGATTTCTATTAGCATGAAAAATAGTGCTTCAACGAGTCCAGTTTTAAAAAAACCTGAATACTATAGTCGACACTTAACGAAGAAGAACTTCAGAGGAAGTCAAACACCAGATTGTAAATCCGTGTGGAAAACAATGGAGCGCTCTGTCGAGTCAACAGTTGTTATCGTTGAGCCACATCGCAGTAAAAGCTATCCTGGATGCCCAAATTGCCAAAAGAAGGGAATCTTTAGAAAGACCAAACTTTTAGCCCGATGGAACCTTGAAAACAAAYTGAATCATTATAAGATTGAGTTCACAAAGTCGAAGCATCCGCTGAACTTCTTAAAGAAGCATYTKACATCCACTACAGTACCTGATAATAAAGTCTGGAAGTTCAATTCAAGCGAACTTCAGGTTCTTAATGTAGAGCAATTAAAGAAGGTTAAGGAATCACTGCAAAAGATTGCAAAGTTTAGAAATGAGGAACTCGATGTGGCCCTTCAAGATCGAATCATATTGACCAACAGTMGAGCGATATTAAGAAAGGAGTCGATGGAACTTGAAGGACTAGTGAGAGAGATAATGAAGCCATATGTCAACATTCATCCACTTTGTGAAGAGCTGGCAAGACTTATGTTAGCATAGTTATAAGAATACAGTACTGAGTGCTGCGTCGACATTTTGTACAGCAAAGCATGATGGTAGTTTCAAACATTTTATAGAACTAAAACATCTGGTTAAAAGCTGTTTTATGCTTTCCTTGTACTGAAACTCCAAATCATCTTCTATATATTTCTACGTAAAGAATTAAACGAAAAACAGAAAAAGAAAAAAGGAATAAAAAAAACTGTTTTAGGCGAGAAAAAATAAAAATACTCCCATCATGCTTTGCTGCCCTCTTGAATAACTTATTTTGAAAATGCTTGGTTGTTAGTTGACCTAAAAGAAGTTTGAATAATAAAGATAGATTTTTGTGTGACTTCTTATTCGCGGAATCATGACGTCGTGCTGTCGTTGGCACCGATGAACCAAACACTTTGATCGATACTTTGAATTTGGCTCACTCAATTACTCGTGGGGCTAAACGTCATTTTGCGACTGAGAAAGGACCCGCTGGCTTACTTCTTGGAATGCGCACCGTTTTTATGGAGTGCCGTCAAACAACAACAACAACAGCAACAAAAAAATGTTTGTTAACACAAGTGAAAATAACACGTACATTACAGAGACGTAGGAGACGGATGGGGGGGGAGGGAAGGCTAGGGCCCCCAACTTTTTCATTCCGAAAATAAAAATTAAAAAATCAACGCAAAGTATGCTCCTATTGAATCGGTTTTTTTTTGTTTTGTTTTGTTTTGTTTTTGTCTGAATGATAAAATACTTAGATCGCTTTTTTATTTTGGTACCCCTCCCCCATTCCCCTCCCCCCACCCCGTTAAAAAGAACGCTCCGACGTCCCTGCATTAAAGGTTTTTCTATATTTTGGAAAGTAAAAAAAGAAGTATTTTACGACATAATTTGCTTTCATTGATAAATATATGATAAACAGAATATTACATGGTCGATTTGAGATAAGAATTTTATCTTTCGTCTTCTCAAATATTTTTTTTTATTATTATACATCTTATTAACGATCTATAAAATCTGATTGGTCTAGATACTATACATGTATAATTTATCGAAACAATATTGACAACTTTAAATATTAATGCTCAATAATGATAATAATCAATAAATAGTAATAATAACTAATATATAATTATTTGAATACCTAAATATTAAATCTAAATATCAACTGACTGAGACTGATTTAAACAGATTTTGCACGTCATCATCGTGTGTTCTAGATTTCACCATTTGTTTTCTAAACAATTATCTTTTGCGAATGCCATTGTTTAGTAAGCCGACGTGAACTTAAAATAAAATTTCTACGTCAAGGAGTAACTTCTGGAACAGATGACATCAAAAGACTCCTTCAAGCATRAAGAATRCACTTGAATTTTATACAAATTTGCATCAAAACACTCAGGGAAAAAAGTAGCAACGGCTCACTTTCCCACGACAAGATATCGCGGTTAGTTTGATTGCAAATTCAAAGTATTTCTTTAGAATTTAGCCATGGCGAGCAGTACACATTCATTTTTGAGTCTTTGCGTTAGGGTAAGTGAATAGATATAATGTATTCCATAAAAAGAATCAATCACTTTAAGTTATAACTAAGATTATAGTGTCCATGACATGACGATAAATGTCATTTCAAAAGCCATTTACAACGATTTATCATTTAATTTTCATATAAAAATGCTTAAAATAATGCATTTGTTTGCAAAAAACACATTAAGTAATTATAAAAAGAGTATTCGGGAAAATTCCTATTAAATTTGTTCTTTAAAACAAAACAAATGCTTTTGAATACAGCGTCGTCTCTAGCCTATTTTCTGAAAATGATTCCTTATCGCGATCAAAAACAACTTTGTCCACAAAAAATAGGTATTAGAATGTACCAAATATTAAGTTTTGTTACAAGCCAAATTCAGTCATTAGTAAAATAAATTTATGTTTTTATTTGTTAAACAATTATTATTTTTTCTTCATATACAATAAAAAAGGATTTTTTCAGTGTAATTGAAAAAATTAATGTAAAGCTTACACAATTAGCCTCGAAAAGTCAAAGGTTTTTATT